GAGTGATTGGTAATTCATTATCATTGCCGTTTCACTGCATATGTTGTCAAACACTTCATGGTTTAATGTTTTTATTGCATGTTTTTTATTGTTATTATTAGCGATGGTGGCCGTGGTGTAAATGGGCAGTGGACATTCATGGGGTTTGGGGATATTGTGCGCAATATTTTGAGATTACTGTGTATTTGTTCACTGCGGATGAATAAAAACACCAATAAAGTAAAAAGCAACAACAAAGAAATGTTTTGTTAAATTTTTGGCCTTGAAACAACATATTACTTAACAAAAGAGAGACTACAGTGTCTTATAAAATTATTGAGCCACTTCTCATTACTTTATATTTTGCTGGGAAAATGGGAAAGAGGTGCAGTTGATTTATTGAAACAAAAGTTTGCAAAAGTTTTTAAAATTAAATACATTCCTTCTTTATTCTTCAACACAACCCGAACTCTGTTCTTTGTGTTTCTATTATGGTGGGCTTTTCACTGCATTTGGTAGTGTGATTGAGATCAATTGCTAACACTTTCCAGATGGTATTGCATGGTGGATCAAAATCTGTGTTCTACTTTTCTGTGTTCATAATTCCACCAGTTTTCATACAATCCCCAAACGAACTGGCTGAAATGCAGCCCCAAACCGTGACAGAGCATCCACTATGTTTTACAGATGGCTGAGACACTCACTGTTGTATCGCTCTCCTGACCTCCACTGTACATATTGACGAGGAATGAAATTTTTCAGATTCTGATTCATCACTTTATAAGACGTGTTGTCGTTGATTTTCTGTATAAATTTTGTGTAATTTGTCATACCTCAGCCTTTTCTCCCTGTTTCACTGAGACCATTTCTGACGAGGCTTCAGTGAACAGTAGATGGTTCAACTGAAGGTCCAGATACATCTTTCCAAACACATCTCTCTTGCTGGACTTCTGTTTCTTGAGGACATGACTTTCAGATACTGTTCATATGCTGGATGAAACTTTTTGGACCCACCACCTCTTCTTTTGTCTTCTGCTTGTCCAGTTTCATCTGATATTTTACTTCAATTCAGTTTTATTTCTGCAGGGCCAAATCAAAACAAAAGTTGCCTCAAGGCGCTTTGTTTTGTGAGGTAAAGACCATACAATAATACAGAGAAACAGAGAAAAGCCCAACAATCAGATGGCCCCTTATGAACAACCGTGTTGGCCTGGGACAATGGAAAGGAAAAACTCCTTTTTTCTTTCTTTCTTTTTTCTTTTTGCTTCAATGATAATATCCGTGTTAATAATATAAAAGAAAACAAATAAAAACCAAAACAAACACACAAGCACACAATAATCATTTGAAAATGTTCAGGTGCAATGATTGAAGTGAAAACGAACGAGAAAGAACTAAAAAAAATGAAAATGAGAGAACTATTGCTCGATTAAATTTTAAAGAATTACAAGAAAGCAACTCCTTGAGAACAGAATATAAAATATATAAACATAATGTAATAATGAATAATAAATAGAAATAAAATATCTATTTAGAAATATGGGTGACTCAAGACTTTTGCACTGTATTGTGCAGAAGGGAAAGGAATAAGTATATAAGTTATGTGATGAAAATATTATTATTATATTATTATATATATTATAACTAAGAATTATAACTATTGTTCGAAGCATGTAAACTTTTATTTTTTAGTAAAATTAGCTCGTGTAGATACTAAAGAAAGCAACGCTTCTTTATTAAAAGATCAATTTTTTGTTGTTGTAATTCCACGAAACATCCAGCAGGTGGCAAAGTAGAGGACCCAGGACTGCGGCGCCCACAGGAAACGGAGATCAACAAAGCGGAAGTATTGAAAGGAAACCTCGGTTATTTTTCCAGCTACCCAAAGGGGAAAGTGAGAGACGATTTTTGTGTCAAACAACAAATTTGGCATCACAGCAACGCCGAAGGATGGACAGATAGTGCTTGTTTAACTGAGTAAGTTGACAATTTAACGCACAGTTTTAAGATTTAGCCTCCATATAGATTCTCCACCGGATTCGGTGCTAACGTTAGCCGCTATTGTTTTTAGCACCAATGTTAGCGCAAACTTCGGTGTGTTTTTTATTGTTTGTTTTATTCGGTGAAACTCCACGGCCATGATTAATCTATGATCTGTTGTTTTTAGATTTTGAGTGTCGTATTTTTCACTAACTCGATTAATGTTTTCAGTAAACCCATGCCATTGTTTGTCGGCTAAGTTGCATGGCTTGGGTCTATGCATACTTTCGGTATTGTAAACGTAGTAGAGTTATTAATAAATGTTGTAAACAATAAGTAAAGTCAACTATCGCTAAAAGGCCCTTTATTGTAAATATAAAGCACCGGGTTTTATGGTAAAACTTCGTGTTATTTTTTTACTTTAAAACCAGGAAAGTCTTGAGAGCTTTAATAAAGAAAGCAACTGGACTTCTTTAGGTTTCTGAAGACGTTTAATCCAAGAGGCTTATTCAATTTTAAAAAGAAAAGGTGGGAAATCCCAGGAATTTTCCCCTTTACGTGGTCCTGAGAGTCGTTAACCCACTATTAATAATGTGACTCATCACATGAACCAAGGTGTGAGGAAAGGAGTGGGCCATTATCATCATCATGAGTTTGTTGATACCTGACATTCTAATTATATCAATAATGGTCGTTCACAGTGGGTGTAGATGGTCATAACCTCAATAGGTCACATGATGGAGTGGGCAAGAGTAGTTTTGCCCTTATCCCCCAGTGATGGAAATGACCCGCACTTTTTTTTGACACTTTGGCTCATGATCAGTAGTCTGTCAACGACTCTAAGGACCACCTCCAAAGGGGATGATCGCTAGTACGGGTTAAATACCAGGACATCCCACCATTTGTCTTTAGAACTGAAGAAGCCTCTTAAATGGAAGGTCTGGCTTCACAAACCCAAAGACAGTTGGCCCCTTTTTCAAGCTCTGAGAATTGAGAGGCTTCGAAGACATAAACTCTGCATTTTTTAATGTAATTAGTAAAGAAGACGATGATACAAGGATTTTTTATGAATGTCCTGACATTCAGCCTAAACAGCTTGATCAACCTGTGATTAATTTCTGTAGTAACTCTAATTTGTGACTTTTAATTTCAGATTCACGGCTGCGGTCCTGGTAAAGAGGTAATTCATCACATCTGAGTTCAACTTGCTGCTGAGGGTTCGAGAGAGACCTACCACAACTGTTTTGCCCCGCAGTGACGCTTCAGAGTCTCTCTGCTTTTCCTTTAGCCACCAGCATGGCTAACAGCACTGTGACAGTGGTTAAGGGTCTGCCACCAGGCCCTGCGGGTAGAAGTAGTCCAGAAGGCTCTCAGGTTAGTTAATTTTTTGCTTAGTAGAACCAAAGGCCAGGATCTGTGTAATAACTTACTGACTTTACCTCTTAAAATGCAAAAGATTGAGAGTGTATTTTGTTTTACATGAAGATTCTTTCTTTTTCTTTGTTTTGTTTTTTTGGGGGTTTTTTTGTTGTTGTTTTTTACATGAAATATCATGAAAATATCAGTGCAAAACTTATGGCTCCTTGCTTTAAATGTGAGAAAACTGTGTTGTATTGTTTTTTTTCATTTTATTTTTTATCTCTTACTATCAGTAAGGTATTATGCAGACCACACAACTGCACCCATTAGCTTTTGTTAAAGGATGATGGATGCATCTTCTTTTTTTCCCAGGTGCTAAGTAAGAAAAAGCTGCAGGACCTGGTGAGAGAGATTGACCCAAATGAGCAGCTGGATGAGGACGTTGAGGAGGTTTGTCAGTAGTTTAAATAAATTGTGCAAGACTTTTTTGATCTTCTCTGTATTGAATAACATTTACATATTTTACAATTAAAACTTGCCTAATGCTGTTAACATGATGGTATCCAAGCTATAGTGAAACGGATGGTTTCTTCAGTTCGCTGTCTGGTTTTCAAAATCCCTGTTTTCTTCTCAGATGCTGCTACAAATTGCGGATGATTTTATAGAGAGTGTAGTGACGGCAGCCTGTCAGCTGGCACGCCACCGCAAGTCCAACACCTTGGAGGTGAAAGATGTTCAGTTACATCTAGGTAAGTTGCTTGTGACGTTTTTGAATGATTGGGTCATTCTTTATTTTGTCAGGTTGTACTGTGTGCCTTGAGCTCTCACAAAAAACGTAAGAATGTTTATTCTGCAGTTATTGGTTGGCAGCTGTTTACAGAAATATTATCAAGGCTTATATTTAATTTAGTGCTACATGCCTTATGAGAATTTGATTTGAATTATTTATTTGCTGCTATCATTTGTTGGCTATTTATATTCAAATTTTGTTGTTACTTTGAGAGCGCAAGGTGATTTAGCAGACTTTATATGCATAAAAAATGTCTGGTATGAATTGATTTTTTTATCACTTAAATTATATTAATGATAAGAACTTAATTTAATATTTGTAGATGGTTTCAGATAAATGTTAGGTAAACTATGTGCTTTCTGTGATAAGTTTGAATATCACAGAGGGAATTTAAATTATTTACTGTAAAAGCCTTGAAAGAAAAAAAAATAACATGTATATATCAATTTTTGAAAATGAGATGGAAATTAGATCTTTCCTTATAGACTGGGTTATTTGCCAGATATGATCACTTCGATATCAATATCTATTGTAAATCCCGATGAGCCTTTTAAAGTCTGTGGCCTGCTGCCATTGTGCATTGCTTTTCTCAGAGCGCCAGTGGAACATGTGGATTCCTGGTTATGGCTCAGATGAGATCCGGCCGTTCAAGAAGGCTTGTACCACAGAGGCCCACAAACAGGTGAGCGATTGCCTCTGCTGCACATGTTAGATTACTGTAAATGGTAGAATAACTGCTGATCTTATATTTGTCAGTATGGTTAATTTGGTTTGTATTATGATGAACACTGGGCCTAATTGTTTTCAATTATTCTCATTTCAGAGAATGGCGCTGATCCGCAAGACAACCAAAAAGTAGCACGACTAAGATGTACCTATTGTGGGTTTTTTTTTTTTTTTTTTTTTTCCCATTCTCTTTTATTTTACTGTCAACTGGGATGTTTTTTTGTTTGTTTGTTTATTTTTCTTTTGACTAAAATAGAGAGGTGGTATTGGTGGATGTATTTTTCTTGACATTAATGTTTCATTGTCATAGCTCTGTAAGTTTTATGTGTTTTGCCAGAGTCATTGCACAATAGTGGTCTTTGTATGTTTGATTCTGTATTGTTGCCATTAAGCTAAACCTGGCAGAACTCCATTGCATCTTTGTCAATAAAAATACTTTCTTGGTATCGTTCATTACTTGGATGTCAGTGTTACCTGACTCACGTGCCTTCCTAAAATACTCGGTTTTACCTTTCTCATTAGAGATTTATCATTAGATTAGATATATTGCAAGTAAAGTAAATGACTGATTGGGACTCCTCTGTTTTTATTGAATCAATTTGTGCAATTATTATCATTATACTTATTTATAGGTTTTTGTAGTTAATTCAGGTGTAAACTACTACACCAACCTTAACACATTTTTTAGCATATTGTTTTGGTTTTTAATTTTTCTTTTGTTTACTTTGGAAAATTGCATCCAAATAAGAAAAACTTCAGATGAAAGAAATTGTCATTGTAAGAAATTAATGACTGAAATTACCAATCGGAAGGTTGGAGTATGGTGTATGTATTGCCAGACTTAAGTTGGTCAAATTACATGGATATGTTAATTATCTGAGATGCTGTTTCACATTTATTAGTCAGCTACCTAGTAGATGTGAAATTGCCACACTATGTATTACATTAATACACCACAAAGGCTCAGATGTGATTAAATGGACTTCCTGCATACTTGCAGCCAACCAAGGATAAAGAAAGATATCAGAAACAGCAGATGGCTACCAGCCATCATTTAATGACCTTGTTTTAGTTGTAGAGACACTGGGGGAAAACCCCAATTTAATGTATGCACCTGAGAGTTTAATGAATTTCCACAGAAACACCTACAGACAACCAGTTCCTCGCAGGATGTTTACTAGTCATGTTACAAGACAACTGTTCAGGCTCATAAGAAAAACTGAAGAGACAAATGAAGGCTCAAGACAATATTTGTAATCTGAACCAAGGGACCAAGTACTGCCAGTTACTGGCAGAACAAACAATATAGAAATTGAAAAGAAAATACAGAATACCCTTGTGGAGCAGTGGCTCCAATCCTATCACTTTTGACCCTTCAAAGTCATAAACCTGCTTGCAAACCACTTTTTGTAATGTCTTTGTGTGGGCATGAGCTGTGCAGACTATCTCGCCTCCTCAACCTTCAAGCCGGTGGAACCACTTTACCAGTGTACGGGTTTCGAGGTAGAGAAATCAATAATTTAGATTTGTTCATTTCTTCTCTCACTTTTGAATAATTGTGACTCTGACACAATTACATCTTTAGCACCCATTAGACAAATTAGAGAAAAGAACAAACAACTTGTCATATTACAGCCTCTGCCCCAGCTGAACTGAGGTTAGCCATGACCTCATAAGTCCATTAGCGTAATATGCTGTGGAGCTGGCATCTCACTAAAGAGAGAATTACCATATTTCTCTTATAAATACAGAATATAGATTTTTCTATTAAAAGTCCACAGCTTCACTAGCAGCTTTGAGTACTTTGTAAGGCATATTTTGAGCTCAGTGTTACAAGTGACATTGAGCAAACTTAAATTTTAACCTAATGGTGAAGCTATATCAAGATCTGAAAGGTTATTGGGCTTTACAGTGAAAAGTTTGGTCTCATTAAATGATAATCAATACAACAGGAGTCGAGCGCATGACCTGCTGATGGCAAAAAAGCAAAAAGTGTAAAAATATCTGTTACAGAAAAAAATGAAACACTAAACTGACCTATTTCCCCATTTTATTTCACAGAGCCAACACAAAATAAAATACTAGCATCTTATAGTTCTAAAAGATTCATCTTCACAAAAAATGTGCAAAAATACTTTTCATACCAGGGTGTTTTATGATTTTGTGCCTTAGAGTAATGCCACCACCGATCCAACCTGCTCACAGTTATTTATTGCTTTTACAGTCACGTGAGTTCACATAGATAGGCACCACATGTCCACAGTTTAACCGCAACACTTTTTCTTGTCCTTAGTTGCTGTTCTTGGCTGAGGCATGTTGGCTCGCTGTAACTGTAGCGCCTGTGGGACAGTGCACTTGACTCCATCCCAGCCCTCTTGCAGCTCTATCTCTCCACTCAATAGTCCCTGGTAGATTCGTCGAGTGAGGAGCTCGAAGCACTCCTTTACATGTTGCCCAGACTTTGCAGATGCCTCCACGTAGGGCGTTCCTAGCTGCTGGGCCAGTTTCTCTGCCTCTTCTCGGCTCACCGCCCTTTCCCTGTGAGCATCTCGATCATTCTTTTGACCCACCAGGACGAACAGAACCTTATGTGGCTGTACTCGCTCGCACACCTCAGCATGCCAGTCTTTAATATGGTCAAAGGAGGCTCGATGGGTGATGTCAAACACTAGCATGCCTCCAACTGAGTTGCGGTAATAGGAGCGGGTCACTGATCTGAGGAAAGAAGTGAGACAAAGGGGTAAAAAATCTTGAGAGATAGAAAAACCCACACTGGCAAACAGAATCAACATTTATGTCCTGTTCTAATGAGCAGTTAACAGCTGCTGTGTATAACTTCAGCTCTTTTGGACAAGCATTCATACAAACAGTTCCCCCTGATTTATTGAACCAAAGGTCATCTAAACTGTCAGGTGGTGAAAACTTCATCTAAACAGGTATTTCTGAAAACAGGACAAGCTTTTGGTTCACTTAATGGGATTATAGATCCCATCCAGAGTGAAGTTAAATGCAAACAGGCGTAGTTTGCAATTTGTTTCAGTTCATTCAGCTGGAGAACTGGAAAATAAAGGATTTGGAGACAGAATGAAGCATGCTTCTCCTAGTTCTTTCATTAAATACGCTGAGCCTGGAAAATATTACATTTAAAAGAGCTCAATCTTCCATTTAGAAGTATTGCACAAACTGCACTTCTGTACACAGTACACACCTATCTTGTGGCACTGACAGGGTGGATACACAATCATAGCTGAAAGTAAACAAAGCAAAACAACTTTATTGTGAACGGAATAGGCCCTAGTTCAGTTGTCGCACACAACTAAAGTGTCTCTAATTTTCATTTTTTGAACAGGGTCCTTGTAATGTGGCCTAATGCATTAAAAACGACATAAATGTTACCTGGATTCCAACATAAAGCTCATATCATTGTAGACTGCATATATCTTATTCAAAGATCATCCATACCTGAACCTTTCCTGTCCTGCTGTGTCCCAGAACTGCAGCTTTACACGGATCCCCGGTTCCACCTCCAGGAAGTGAACGTAGAAGTCAACACCTACTGTCTCGTTGATGGACTCCATAAACAAGTCCTCTGTGTAGCGTTTCAGTAGGGAGGACTTTCCCACAGCTGAATCGCCCAGCATGATGATCCTGAACTGGTACTGCCACAAAGTCAGGTCCATTGTTGCTGGCAGTTACAAGAGATTAAGACAGGAATGACAGCTTTTGGAGATATGAAGGTGTGCACAAGCTCTGGGAAAGAGAAAAACAGATTGTCATAAAGATTAGAAAAGGTTAAAAGCAAATATAGTGAGAGATTACTGAGACTGAAGAGAAAGAGACATAACTTCATGGAGACTATCTACCACACAAACTCAACCTGCTTTCTTACCTCTGACAATCCAAATGTTGAGAAACAGGCATTAAGCCACTCCTTATTAATCTCACTACCAATGCAGCAGCAGTGTTCACAGCCATCCCAAACTTCTTTCCTTTTGTGACTGCAGTACAGCTCTCATTCTCATTCCCATGGTGGCTCTTCAAATCCTCTACGAGGGCAGGTATGTAGAAAAATCTGCCCCACAAAGTGGATCCATTTGAGCTGCTGATCTTAACTAGTACAGTAAGCTTGTACACAAGTGTGGCTTTGCAGGGGCGTGTACTTCTAAAGGTTGCTTGTTGATACTTGACTAAAGGAGGGGCAAGAGCACAAGGACAAAGGGAGGGCCAGATGTGGGAAGGGGGGAAGTTTAAGGAAGTAGTGGCTGCATAAAAAAACTTATCAGGGGAAACTGTGCAGTTTCCTGTAGTTGAGAGCCAGTAGGGACATCATCATCAACAAACATACAAAATGAGGGTGACTGTTGGCAACTCTAACAGTTGCCACACTATTTGCAACAGTTTTTATCACTTTATGATCTCGTATGTGCAGTGAGGATCTGAAAAGGGAAGTTGATAACAATGTCGGTTTTTATCCTCTGGGAAAGCCAAACTGGTCTCACAGCTATATGTAAAGTGACTGTGACCTCTTATGAAGGCACCATGGAGAGCAACAAGCTTCCTCTCCACTGTCCTGGTTAGTAGGATAATGAGTCCATCCTTAGGCAGTTGTGACACCAGCATATTTATGAAAAGTCATTCACACATACTTACAGCTTGCAGGGGTAATATTCTCCAGCCCCCCCCCCCAAAAAAATACAAATAAACAGACGTGCTGCATAACACATGCATCTAAATTTAATAAATAAAAGGCATTTCAGTGCATTTGGGTCACACAATGGTAACAAAATGGGATCTCATGTTACTTAGTAGACTGAAAGTGCAAGAGGGACATTTGATAGTTATAACCTACTAGATGCTTTTACTGATGCTTCAAGCTCCATTTGAGATTGTAGTTTTAGTTTTATTCTGTTGTTGTCGCAAAGGTTGCTTAAATTTCCCCAGTTGTCAGATGATTGTGCATCAGCATATTTCAATTTAAACAGTTCTTAGTCAGAAATAGCAGTAAAGGGCAATCATGTTTCCTGGTCATAGGCAAAAGTTGTGCAACATGAACTGGTCAGTTCAGTTTTAGGGCTTCACAAACTAATGGCGTTCCAAAGTGAGCGAGTCTTCAAATGACAGCTTACGTGCAGAAATTAAATTCATTCCTAAATCTTTAACATTATCAGAGCAGAATATTTCACATTTTCACCCAAGAGTCACAGCTTCATGTCCAAACAGATCTGGATGTAATACAGAGAAAGACTGCTTAAAACCAAACCAGTATTAAACTATGGGGGAAATACAGATGAAAAAACTGACAATTACAACAATTTAAAAAGGTAAATATATCAGTAATTCCCTATATATATATATATATATATAATCCCACCTAACCCTTTCTCAGATGCTACAATTCCAAAAAACAGAGAAAGTCTCTGAAAAATATTTCTCTGAAAAACTCCAAAATACACATCTTCTCATTATTTTACCAGAACATCATTATGATAACGGCAGTACACTTTATACCGATGGGCTGATATCTTCCCTTTAATCATGTACCTTAGTGTATTCTTTTTTAACAAGTTCCATTACAGCAACATTTTTTTGAGTTCCCTCATAAAACCTTTATTAATACTTGATTTTTGCAGCAACTTTAAAACACTAAAATAAACAGAATTCACTACCTTTAATATTTTGCTGTAGGCAAAATATTTGAAGAACATAAATTATAAATTGTTATGACAATAAAGTATTAACAATTCAAAAATACAGAGTAATACAAAGATTGTTTGTGCAGAGTCAGTCAGGGTATTTCCTGGGTGATCTCCATGAGCGGCACATACACAAAAATGACTTCTACAAAGACAGAAACTTCAGCTCACGCATGTCCATGTCGGGAGAGCTGCTACCACTGTGATCACTGTAGGTGTCCCTGAAATGAAAGGTAAATTCATAAGATTATTACATCAGCAAGACATTATAGGGGCAATTTTTTCTGTAACTGCGGGAATTGTTGTGACATAGCATCAGTTTTAAATGCAGATATAATATGTGTGGGCAAAATGCTTAATGACTGATGTTAAATATTGATCAAGTTGTAGGTTCTTTGTAGGAGTTTTTTTCACATGTTTACCACTCAGATTACTTATTAAAAGTGTCATCAAAGCATAAATGTCAGCTAAATATGATAAAAAATGAGAGCAAGGTGAAATAACATTCAACTGTTTGGAGGTTGGAGAAACACCGTGATGGAATAAGCGAACTGGGAAGTTATAGCTGCAGTTAAAGCTAAACTTCGAAACTGTTGGACTGTCACCATTGCAGTTTCATTTCCTTTAAATAACTTTTGGATTGGCAAGTGATTGATGTGCTGGTGTTTACCGTGGAGAAAGGCGACAGCCCTTGGCCAGGTAGCTCTGGAGTTTTCCTGCAGAGGCCAGCAGGAGACCAAAGTATGGAGGAGAAGGTTTGATAGGTCTGGAGGTGAACTCTGGATGATACTGCACTCCAACAAAGTAACAGTGGTCTGAAACCAAAAAATTGCATATTACTGCACGTTTCTGCTCCCTCAGGCTTCATTTAAAACAACAAAGATTAAATGTTTGATATCATAAAGAAGGACAGTTTGGGGTTAAACATGATTTCTCTACATCGTGTTCAAGAATTGTATGTATTAGAAGAAGCCGGTGGGTGCTGGATTTCAAACACACTTTCCCCATACCCTCTAATTCAATGACTTCCATCCGCTCTCCTTCCACATCCTGACCAACAAACTGAAGTCCTTTTTGTTCAAAGTGATGCTTCAGCTCTGGATTCACCTGAAATAAGATAAGATTCTGTGATCCAAGGTTTTATTTTTTGTTTTGTTCTTGCAGTACTTCTAGAAGAAAAGCCATGGGCCCAACAAAACAAAATAATGTTCAAATCAAATCTCAAAGTTAGATAAGCTACTGCACACAATACGTTTTGCTTAATAAATTTTGTATTTACAAAATAATTTCCACACTTTTCGCTGTATAATAAAAAAAAATTAAACCCTTGTTTGGATCACTACCTCAAATCTGTGTCTGTGCCGTTCGTCAACATATTCCACATCTCCATATAGCTTTCCTGGAAGAATAAAAAATATTTTATCAACAGTAATTAGGCAGAAGAAGTCCAGGTATCATTTGATCCAGGGAGATACATACTCAGCACACTGGTACTGGATGAGAAAATGGTCCGCCTCTTTCCCAACCTCATAGTCCCACCCATCTGGCCTGGGTTGTGTTCTGGCATGTCAATTACCTGTAGGGATCAAATCAAGATTATATAACTAATAATGGATGGTAAACATGCATGGTAAAAAAACAAAACAAAGAAGATAACATACCACAGGGTGTTTGGATTCTGGATTAAATTCTGTGGAGTTGGCATCTGAAAAACACAAGATGAACTGATCTGAGCACAAATCAGCTTTCCAATAGGTGGAAGCCTTAATCATCATTAAATTAGAAACCACTGGAAGCAAATGTTTCTTAGCTGTGTCCTCAGCAGAACTAAACAATCACGTACCTTCCCATCCAAGAACACTGCGGGCAAATTCACACACTGCCAGCTGCATGCCCAAACAAACACCTGCAAAGAACAAGGCCAGTGGAATTCTAAATATTAAACAACATCTTTTTTACATAATATATAAATCACTGACTACATGTAATGAATTTGGATATTAAATGCTACCTCATATGATTAATTGTCAGTAAAGAAAGGTGTGCAGTAAATACAGATTACCCTTTCAATATGCACCACAGAGAATTTCAGCAGCCAAAACAAATACAAGACCTTGAAACAAAACCCCAGTAGGGGGTTTGTCTTTTCATTGGTGTAAGCGTTATTTGAAAAATTCATATCATACATAAAATATATGAACAGCATCCCAGCACATCCTCTACACCACCCAGCACTAAGGTGTGTAGGACAGAGTCTCTGCTTAGACTGAGTCTATATCTATAATCAACTCAATGTGTTTCCCCCTATTTGTCTTTCAATAACTGCTCAAACTACGTCCAACTGCAATATGATATGATACACAACATACAGCATAGCCTGACATCTCCCTTACCCAGGAATGGCTTATTCTGTTTCCGTGCCCAAGAAATAGCCTCCATCTTGCCTTCTGTCCCTCTTGCACCAAAACCTCCTGGCACCAAGACACCACTGTGGAAAAGAAAGAAAAGACCATCAATGCTCAATTCACTGAGATTTCACAGACACATGTAGAACCACTTAAATCTATTTAAACCTTGTGTCACTCTCTCTGGAAAACTTATAAAAGCAAAATGCCAGGCTGGTATTGTACAGCCAATGTAAGATAATTCAGTATCGTATGGTTAGTGAACTAAGTAACATAATTAGAAAAGCTTTCGTTTGTGATAGTATCTGATTAAGACACACTAGTGACATTTTTCTTCAAAAAGATGAAGAAGAAAGAAGAAAAAAAACAACAACACTATCCTAAATTGTGTTTCCTTTATCAAAACAACCCCCTGCGGTAATACAATAATCTTTTTGGCTGTCCCCAACTTGTAGCATAACCTGTTACTGCTTCTTTTGAAACAGCCACAGACAAGCAGGACTTTTCTTTTAACCCATTTGCAATATTGCTACTACCATAGCTGCACGAACTATAATACTGTATATATATATATAATAGAGTGTACATTTTAATATCAACCGCTGCTGATTATCCAAGATTATCCACACTTATTAGCGTGTTTTCGCCTTGTTTTGTCTACTCACTGAGCACTGCAGAGTTTCTGCCAGGCCTCGTGATATTTCACTGGATCATCTTGCAGGGTAGTAGTCTCCAAATCTGCAGAGTCTATGTACTGCAATAACAACAAACAGTGTAATCTGGATAGAGATCAGTCAACAACAGGCTGTACAAATACAGGAATATGTGAGGTTTTATTTAAGTATAGCAAGTTTATCTAAAAACAGTCCAAACTGAAAACAGCGATGCAAAATTCAGAAATTAGAAGAGAGTTGTCTCCTTACCTTGACCTCTAGTTTGTGATTAATGGCAAGGGCTGAGTGCTCTAGGGCCTTAATAACAGATGTGTAGGAGTCAGCTAACTTTGTATATTTTCCCACCAGGGCTATGGAAACATGCTCCAAGAGACGGTCGGATCTGAAAAGAGACGGAGATGATTTATAGTACAGAATCTGGTGCATTCTTTGAATGATTACTTCCTCAGCTACCCATTTTACCCGATCCCCTCAACGCTCAGTATGTTGTACTCACTGGGGAAAGAATAAATAAATAAATCTGCTTCTGGTGTCAGCATTCTTTAGGGAAAGTTTTGTGACCAAAATCATAACAAGCATCATTATTGCTGACGTATTAGGAGGTTCTGAAACTTAGATTGAATCTGTCACGCCTACTTGTCTAGTAATGTTATGTTCAAGAAGTGAATATAATATTTTTTTTCATTAGCAGTGTAATGGTGACTAAAAGATCATGCCTGGATGATCTACAAGTCTGACACCAAGTTTTAAATTTAATAAACACACAGAGTCCTTTTTTTGTGTTGTATTTGAGGTTATGTCACGAGCAAGGAGCAAAAACAAACAAAC